CCAGTGAAGTTGATTTTGGATTTCTGTGCACAAAAATTCTAAATAAAAAAATAAAGCAATGTTTTAATCCACTGAACTGGTTTTGATTTTACAGCAACCATAGTAAGTGAATCCATCCAGTGTTCCCATGTGGTGCAGAGGCAGTGTGTTCAGGTAATCCACTCAGGATTATCCTGAGGGAGTACAAGGCCATGGTAAAAGCATGTCATGTTAGAAGGCTACCAGCATAGGGTTGAGGTCCAGTTCTGCCTCTAATTAACTATGTGTCTTGAGAAAGGGATCTTGGAGGCTTTAGGCTTCCCTATACAATGTAGGGGCTATAATAGATCTTGTTGGACTCAACAGGCTTGTGAGGATCTTCCTCAAATGCCTTCCCATCAAAATCACCAATAAACCTAGAGTAACTATGTTATGACTAGCACTGTGAGGGTTGGGAGCTAGAGGTGCACTCAGAAGGCCTAAGAGAATCTGCTCTGGAGAAGACTACCAGTGAGGAAGGATGTAGGAGAGTGAAGGCAGGATATGAATTCCATGGACAGGATGTGAAAATCTCTTTTCAGCACAAGAGTGCTAGCAACTAGGATGGTGCTTCCTCATAATCCTGCCTTCCCATCGCTACTTAGTAGAGTTGTAATCAATTGGAATTCTTTCCCTTCCTAGATCAGGAACTTAGCAGTACAAGGACAGGGACCAGAGGCAGGGGACCAGTGGGTGTTGGGGTCTATGGCTGTTACTTGAAGTCATAGGAACACCAGAGGAGAGAAGGGTTAACGATAGGACGGTAATCAGCAATGTTGGGTGGTACAAAGATGTTGAGGAAGCTGAAGATCATTACCAGTTCCCCAGGACAGATATAATCTTATCATCTCTGTCTTGTGCTACAGAAGTAGTTGCCCACTGGTGCCCTGCCTCTCTCTGGTCCCTCTCATTGTACTCTCTCCACCATCCAGACACAAATGTTGCTATGTTACTCTCCAGTGGGTGATCAAATCCTTGATCCTGCAGCCTCATCTCCTGCCATTTCTAGCCACAGTGCCATAGTGGTTCTCTCAGCCCATTCTCCTCTTCTCAAGCTGGCCAACTTGCTCATTCTTCCAGGGCTGGCTCAGGGGTCTCCCCTTCCTTGTCACATTTCCTCTCATGACTTCTCTTTCCTCTGTGAGCAGACAGGCCTTCATTAATTACTACTTACTAGAAATTTAAACTGCATGAAAAAGCACATAACAGGGGCTGGTGCTGTGGTGCAGCAGGTTAACACCCTGGCTTGAAGTGCCGGCATCCCATATGGGCGCCGGTTCTAGTCCTGGCTGCTCCTCTTCCAATCCAGCTCTCTGCTATGTGGCCTGGGAAAGCAGTAGAAGATGGCCCAAGTGCTTTTGTCCCTGCATCCGCATGGGAGGCCTGGAAGAAGCTCCTGGCTCTTGGCTTCGGATTGGCGCAGCTCCAGCCATTGCGGCCATCTGGGGAGTGAACCATTGGATGGAAGACCTCTCTCTCTCTCTCTCTCTCTCTCCCTCTCTCTCTCCCTCTCTCTCCCTCTCTCCCTCTCTCCCTCTCCCTCTCCTCTCTTTATGTAGCTCTGACTTTCAAATAAATAAATAAAGCTTAAAAAAAAGAAAAAGCACATAGGAAAATCTATCATCTTAGCCATTTTTAAACAAATTTTTATTTATTTATTAGAGGCAGAGACTGTGAGAAACAGGGTTCCTGTCTGCTGGTTCACTCCCCAAATGCCTGCATTTGTTGGATCTATTGGGCTGGGCTGGACCAAAGCTGGGAGCCAAGAACTCAGCCCAGGTTTCCCATGTGGGTGGCAGGGACCCAATCACTTGAACCATCACCTGCTGCCCTCCCGGGTCTGCATTAGCAGGAAGCCAGTCAGAAGTGGAGCTGTATATCAAACCCAGGCACATATGTGGCCACCTAAACTAGCATCTTAGCAGCCAGGCTAAATACCTGCCCCATTTTTTAAGTCTATTTTTAAGTCACAGTATTAAAAACATTTACATTGTGATGCAACCATCACCATCATCCATCCATAAATCTTTTTCATCTTTTCTAACAAAAGTTCTGTAATTGTTTTTTTTTTTAAAGATGTATGTATTTATTTCAAAAACAGAGTTAGAGACAGAATGAGAGACAGCTCTTTCATCCTCTGGTTTATTCCCCAGATGGCTGCAATGACCAGGGCTAGGCCAGGCCAAAGCCAGGAACCAGGAGCCAGGAGCTTCTCCTGGTTCTCCCACATGGGTGCAGAGGCCCAAGCACTTGGACCATCCTCTTCTGCTTTCCCAGGAGCGTTAGCAGGGAGCTTGATCGGAAGGGGAGCAGCGAGGACTCGAACCAGCACTCATATGGGATGCTAGTGCTGCAGGCCATGGCTTTAACCTGCTTTGCCACAGCACCAGCCCCAAACTTTGTACTTGTTAAACACTAACTCTTCACTCCTCTCCTCCATCCCTAGACCCTGGCAACCACCATTCTACCCACTGTCTGTATGGGTTAGAGGGCTGCCAGCCTAGGTTTGAGGCCCAGCTCTGCCTCTAATTAACTATGTGTCTTGAGAAAGCCCCAGGGATTGCTCTAGGGACTTCATCTATGAGGAATCATACGGTATCTGTCCTTTTGACACTGGCTTATTTTACTCACCATAATGTCCTCAAAGTTTCATAGATACTCTAGCATGCTGCACGGTCTCTTTTTTAATGTTGGATAATATTCCATTGTATGGATAGACTACATTTTGTTTATTCATTCATGCATTGATAGACACGTGGGTTGCTTCCACCTTTGGGCTATTGTGAATCATGCTGCTGTGACATGGCTGTACAACTATTTTTTCAAGACCAGGCTTCAAAGTCTTCTGGCTATATATCTACCAATGGAAATGCTGGATCCTACGGTGACTTTATGTTTAATTTTTTTGTGGACATTATGTTGAGTAAAATAGGGCAGTCACAAAAGGACAAATACTATATGACTCCAATTAGATAAGGTCCTTAGAGCAGTCCAGTCTACAGATACATATCATTTTTCCATAGTGGCTATAGCATGTCACATTCCCACCAAGAGTTCATAAAAGTTCCAATTCTTCATCAGTTTTTTTTTTTTTTTTGACAGGCAGAGTGGACAGTGAGAGAGAGAGACAGAGAGAAAGGTCTTCCTTTTTTTGCCGTTGGTTCACCCTCCAATGGCCGCCGCGGCCGGCGCGCTGCGGCCGGCGCACCGCGCTGATCCGATGGCAGGAGCCAGGAGCCAGGTGCTTTTCCTGGTCTCCCATGGGGTGCAGGGCCCAAGCACCTGGGCCATCCTCCACTGCACTCCCTGGCCACAGCAGAGAGCTGGCCTGGAAGAGGGGCAACCGGGACAGAATCTGGCGCCCCAACCGGGACTAGAACCCGGTGTGCCGGCGCCGCTAGGCGGAGGATTAGCCTAGTGAGCCGCGGCGCCGGCCCAGTTTTTCTAATTTTTAAAATTTACACCTAATGGGTGTCAGATGGTATCTCATTGTGGTCCTGATTTTTATTTCCTTAATGATTAGTGATGTTCAGTATATTTTCATATGCTTGTTGGCTTACCAGTCACTGTTAAGTGGAGGTTGGCAATCTTCCTGTGAAGGGAAAGATGGTAAATATTTAAGCTTCATGAGCCAGATGGTCTGTGTTGCAACTACTCTGTTCTGCCATTGTAGTAAAAAGGCAGCTATAGACAATACATAAACAGATGGATGTGGTTGTGTGCCAGTAGAATTTTATTTATTTACAAAAGCAGGCGGCACACTGGATTTGATTCTGAGCTCATAGTTAAGGAGCACTTGGATGATTTATTTCTGCATTCCATTGCTTCTGTGGGACTATGAGCTCTCTGAAGGCAAGGGCTATCTTGCTCACTTCTCCATTCCTTTGGATATAATGAGTACCCAGTTAATATTTTCTGAGTTGATATTTCCCTCTTCCTACCATGGAGAACGAAGCTGGTGGTATGTTTGTGTCCTAGTTCCTGCTATAAATGGCATATTGAGGGGCCAGTGCTGTAGCATAGATGGTATAACCACCACCTACAGCACTGGAGTCCTATGTGCGCGCCATTTCGTGTTCTGGCTGCTCCACTTCTGATCCACCTCCCTGCTAATGTGCTTGGGAAAGCAGCAGAAGGTGGTCCAAGTGTTTGGAGCCCTGCAACCTCGTGGGAGACCTGGAAGAAGCTCTGGGCTCCTGGCTTTGGCCTGGCCCAGCCCTGGCCATTGCAGCCATTTGGGGAGTGAACCAGTGGATGGAAGATCTCTTTCTTTCTGTCTCCCCCTCTTTCTGTAACTCTGCCTTTCAAATATATATATATATATTTAAATAAATATATATATATTTAAATAAAGCATCTTGGAAGAGTTACTAGGAGATAGTGCTGTATAGGAAAAAGGCTTAGACTTTTGCTTTCTTCCTTCCTTTTCTCCCCTACCCAGGCCACTTTAGAGTTTTCTGGGGCATGCTATGGACTAAAGGAACTAATATGAACAACTCTTCTGGGGCTCAATGGATAAGAGACTGATCAGGCAACAGCAAGGCTCTTTTTTAGGTCCACCATCATTTAAAGTCTTTCATAACCAATGACCAGGCAGTGCTGGTGAAAGGAGTATCATACTGAAATGGAAGTTCCTAGTGTCTCCTGATATGCTTCTTTCCTTTCTCAAAGTTCCTACTCGCATTTTTTGCATATTTCATCTTTGGGTGCCTCAGATTATAGCCTGACTCCAATCAGATTGGTATTCTGACTGCCTCTTTCCTCACATGGGCCCCTTTGCTGCATTAGGGTGCTTGATTCTTAATGGGTAATATGGGGTACACTGGCCTGGGGGATTTGGAGCGTGTGGTCCAGTCCTGACTGCTAACTGCCCTTCAGCGTCCCTGGCCATGGCTTCTTTTTCTCTGGAGCTCCCCCAGCTGGCCAATGTGGGAATTGCTGGCTTTCTCCCATAAAGGCCTTTCTAAGCTCTGCACACTTACCGGGTACCTTCCCTGGAATCCAAGCCCCTGACCCTTGAGAAGTGCACTCTTGGCACATCGGTCTGGGCAGCTGAGCTGATGGGTTACTGTAGGATTGAGAAAGCGCTTTGACAGGTTGGAAGCCAGAGGGAGACATGTGTGGCCAAGCTGCAAGGACAAAACATCACTAGAGATGGAGCTTGAAAGCAGAGCAGGAGAGTTCTGGGCCCAGCAGAACCACAGGTGAAATGGAGCTGGGAAAGGAGGAATGCTTCTGAGGAGGCAGGAGTTTCTGGGGGAGCGGGAGGACACACTCCAGTATAAGATGCACTCACTTGGGTTGGGTCGGGGGAGAGGAGGGAGGGTGAGGGACACTTTTCTACTGGCAAGGGCTGTTTCACATGGCAAGCCAAGAATCTCTGATAGGAAGTCTGGGGTTCCTTGTCAGTGGTAGAAATATGCAGCAGCTGGTGGGCTGTGGCCAGAGTTCTCAACCATGTCTATCCTAAGCTGGTTCCAGCACAGCCGATTTTGGAGCCAAGGCCTTAATAACGGAACAGTCTACAGACACCCCCTTAGTCTCAGTCCACACTCAGCCAGGGATGCTGATGAAGTCTGGGAGGCCCTGGGCTTGTCTCTCCTGAACTATCTCCCTGAAACCTGCTTCCCCACAGCTGCTGGCCTATCACTGGTTCATAGGTTTTACCAGGCCACAGTCCTCTTTCAAAACCTGGTGCAAAGTCATGTGCTGTCTCTTGCCCAAAGATGCACACTGACATCCCAAAGGGCATATCCAATTTATGGAGGTCAAGAGCTCCTGGGTCCACACAGGAATGTTGGGCCTGTGATTTCTGCTCCAATCCATTCCACTGGCTGCTCTCCGCCCCATTCCTCTGGCTCTTGTTAATCTGGGATTCCAAGGCAGGGAGGTGATTGCCTGCATTCCTTGAGCACTTGCTGTATGCTGTGGGGCCTTGGTTGGCTCTACCCTCAAGCAGTTCCTGGTCCAGTGAAGGTGGGAAAACATCCCAACAGAGAACATGCAGAATGAGGCAGAGATCAAATGCCACAGACTCAAAATCCAGAGAGAGGAGATGGTTTCTATTTGGGAGGATCTGGCTAGGCTTTTTGAGGATAGGAGCTGGCCATCTGAACCTGAGGACTCAGGGAAGAGGGTGGAGAAAGGGACACTGCAGGCAGCCAGGACAACTTGCATAATGGCATGGATGATAGGGCATGCGCAGGAAACTGTGGCTCAATTTGGCTGGAATGCAGCAGGGGTGAAGCCCATGAGAAGGAGCTGGGAACATGGGCTGCTTTGGTTGGAACACTCTGGAATGGCAGAGGCCACACTGGATGCAGACAGATCAGCTTGGCTTGTCCCAGCATACCTGACCTACATGCAGGCAGGACTGGGCGCTGAATTTGGTCAGTTCTGGTGCAGAGGGAAGACAAACTGAAATGGGAGATACACAGAGCTAGCTGTCCCCAAGTTGGGAGAGAAAATGCCTTTCCTTGGCTCTGATTCTCTAGACAGGATATGCCATGGGGGCCAGGTACAGGCCAGTGTCTAGGCTCTAGGAAGCCATTAGCTATCAATAAGTCAGGAATGGAATGTGTGTGGTAGTGCTCAGGACTCAGGCCTACAAGCAGGGCAAGTTTAGTCTTGCAGTGATCAGGCAAGGTTCAGTGGTCTGGAACCATCCACTGGGTTTGTGAATACATAATGCCAGGCCCACCCCCAGTGTGTTAGGTCAGTAGGTCTAGGGTGAGCCCTAATAGTTTCCATTTCTAATGAGCTCTGAGGGGGAGGCTGTGGTTTCCTGGCAGTTGGGGTTTCTCCAAATGGGATGGGGTGGGAGGTGAGATAAGTCTAGGTCCAGAATGCAGGGAAATACACACAAAGGTCAAAGCACCCTCCAGGCAGGGCGGGCATCTATCTGCTTGGCTAGCTGGGGCTTGGGGGTCTCTGGAGGCCCCAGCCTCTTCCTAATTAACCAGTCTCATCTTTGGGATCTGAGTGGATACAGCTTCTGTGACTATTATGCCCTTTCACCTGGGCCAGGCCACAGCACTCTGTACCTTCCATTCTTGGAACTTGGGGCAATTTTGAATTATGTATTGATTTTGGGGACCCCACAAGCATGTGTGCTTCAAGCGATCAGGGGCTGTGTCTGTTTGAGTCACCACTGAAGGGCAGGGAGGGCACCCAACAGGTATGTGTGGATTGAATGAGTGAATAAAACTAGAGTGGAGAAGAGGTTTCCTGAGGAAATAGAAGTCAGGGATGGATGGGACCATCTAGAGTTCAACAAAGAACATTTTTAGCCCAAATAGTTGCTAGCAGTTTTTCTTAGCAAACTGTAAGGACAAAGCCAGAGGACCAAACTGCCCTCAGCTTCCTCCTTCCAGCTTTCTTAGAAAAATACTCAGCCCAGCCCAAAGTGCCCATCTTTCTGGGCTGAGTTCTGGCCCTTCGGCAGGTGCTTCTATTTGCAGCTTCATTTCTGTTCCACCAATGTGTCACAGCTTGGGTCTGTTACTTCCTGTCTGGTCTCCCAGGATTTTGCCCTCCACAGCTGGAACCATCACTGATTTCCCATACCTACAAGATAATTCCCTGGAGCTTGGCATCCATGGCTCTTGCACCCTCTTCAGCCTGCCTGACTTCCCATTGCTTCCTGCCCCTCACAGCATCCCCCCAATCCCAAACCTTGCACTTCTGTCCTTCAGAAGCCTAAGCCAAATCAATGTCAGACACACCCTTATTTTATGTGCTGTTAAGAAATCCAACATGCTACTAATTAAAGTACCACAGGCAATTGACTGTGAGACTGCCCCTTGAGCCTCAAATGCCAACTAGGGCCCTGCACCTACTGTTTTATCCTACCTGAGCCAATTCAATGTGCCACCTGCCCTGAAGAAGCCATGTCTCCACCCTCTCAACTGATACCACTTGGTCACAAATATGTGTATCATTTCTTGCCTGGTACTACAGGGACTTGTGAATGTCTCAACTCCATTACTCTGTCTTAGGCAGATCATGTCTTATTTATATTTATCTTACATCTCCCCACACCTAGCAAACTGTCCTCAGGCAGAGGTGATAGTGAGTACCTCAAAATGTCTGCGGAAAAATAAAATGAAATGGTAAGTTTATTTCGGTGTAAGAAATTTTGAAATTCATGCATAATTTTTTCATAATATGCATTTTCCTTGTTTTTGAAAACTCCTCATATATGGGGCTCGCATTGTGGCACAGCAGATAAAGCCACTGCCTGTGACACTGGCATCCCATACGGGTACCAGTTCATCTCCAGGCTGCTCTGCTTCCAATCCAGCTCCCTGATAATGGCTTTGGAAAAGCAGTGGAAGATGGCCAAAGTGTTTGGGGCCCTGCCACCTGTGTAGGAGACTGGGATAAAACTCGTGGCTTTGGCCTGGCTCAGTGCTGGCCATTGTGGCCATCTGGGGAGCAAACCACCAGATGGAAGAGCTCTGTGTCTCTTTATCTCCCTCTTGCTCTGTAACTCTGACTTTCAGAATAAGTAAATAAGCATTTTTAAAAAGAAAGCCATATGCATGGATTTCAAATTTTTTGCACCAAAATAAACTTATTTTTAACCCTATTTTCCATTATCTTTCTGAAGTACCCCTGTATTCCTAAAACAGATACTATATGGGTTGCATCACACCTTCATTTTATTGCAACTTTGCCAGCTATCTCTCTGTCCTTGGGCACAGGTGGAGAAAAAGAATTCTTAAAAATTTCATTTCAGTTAATCTGAGAAGAAACCAGGTTCTGTAAGACCATCATCAGGAATTAGAGAAGGCTGGACTACTACATGTCCTTTGGAAATTGGCTAGAAGGAGTCTATGCACGTGAGAGCAGGAAGTAGCCCTTTCAGTATCCAAAACCCCAAGGAGATAAAGGTGGCTCTCTCCTCTCTGGTCACTGCCAATCAGCCCCAGTTCCCACATTAAGATAAGAACTGAAAAGTTAACATAGCATGTCACTGGGCCACTTCACTATGTTGTCACTAGAAATGACAACAGGACCCTGTTCATAAAGAGAAGTACAGATGGACACACCAATAGGAAAGGTTGTAAGGAAGTGAACAACCAGCAATGCTTTTCTCCCAGGAATCCCCATCCCCAGGGATTAGGAGGGTCACACTTAAGCTTGTGTTTTTTCTTTCTTAAATATTTTGCTCTAAACTCTGTCAAATGCAATGTATATCTGAAGTCTCACCCAGGTGTTTACAACTTCTGCTTTTCTTCTAGTAGTTCCTTGCATAGTCTAGCAGTTTCTAAGCTAGTATTGGTTTGCATGGGAACAAATTTGGTTACCCACCCTAAATCAGTAGATGGGTTCTTTATTCCTTTTAACTGCCTTGACTATGTAAAATGACACTGGAATGAAATGGGTGACTTCCAAGGTGTTCTCTGTGATAGGAAATTCAGGAGAGAAACAGAGAGCGAGAACAAAACAGTAGAATATGAAGCTGCCTGCTTAAGAAATGTAAGTCCAGTCCTATGAAGGAAGGAATATCTGTTGTTTTTGCCACCCTCAAAGTCATACAAGGGGCAGGTGTGCTTTCATCTAACCATCAGGAAGAGTCATACACTCAGAAAAGCTAATTTGAAAGCTGTTAGTTCATTGGCCCACAGGGGAGACAGTTACTGGTCCCAGGTCCCTCACTTGACTCTCCGTAGGTGGTGGAAGCTCTGCACAGTCTTCTCCACAGCGTCGTCCATGGTGACCAGGGGCCGATAGCCCATGGCCTTTTTGGCTTTTTCACAGCTGTAGTAGTGGAATGTGCCAGCCAGTGCGACCCGCATTGGTGTGAATGTGGGCTGCAGCTGGATGACAGGACTGACGATCATCACCAGCAGGGACAGTAGGAGGGCCAGGTAGTAGGCCACCCAGTAGGGGATGTGGTACTTGGGGGCCTCATAATTGAGGCCTGTCAGGATGCGGGACAGGAACATCCAGAAAGGGATGGGTTCATCATTGGTAATGTGAAAGGCCTGGTAAGAGAACAAAATGTTAGAAATACCTCATAAGCTTGGTGTGTGTGGGGGGGGTGCTGCTGAGCAGGCCACACTTGAAACTTGGAGCTCAGCCCCAAGCAGCTGGCACAGCACAGAACTCATATTTTGGGAAAGCACTGGCTATTCCATTCCCCTCATCTACCGCTCCAGCTCTTCTGTAGGGTGGCCCCAGAATGAGGCATACATTCAGCCCATGCAGACTGTATCCTCATGTGCTCAATTGTCACAGCATTTCATGGGGAGTGGTCTTAGCTTTGGTAAGTAGGCCACATTATGGGCAGAGAGGGAAGGCAATGAAAGTTGTTTCTGTGGGCCAGGGTTTTTTAAGTGAAGCTTAGACTGCACTCAGGCAGCTATATTTGTTAATTTACTAATTGATAATTATGGTAAAACTAATCTTATCTTGGATGCAACAGATGGGTGGGGAGAATAAAAGATAACCAAGCTCATCAGCTTCCAGATTTTGGCTACCCTGAGTGATATGATTCTTTCATTGATATATGTTCCCCCCGAGAGGGCATAAAGTGGATCTACCATGACACCAGATCACAGGGCAAAAGCAAATCCCATGGCAAGGAGAAGAAACAGGAAGAAAGGCAAACATGTAGGGGCTGGATGAGGCAGGCACTTTACCTTCCCACCAAGGGCTTCATCTTTGGAGAGGTGTTCTGCAGCCAGGATGTGTCCATGGACCACGTTCTCAACGAAGGTGAAGTCCACCAAGTTCTTCCCATTCCTGCACAAGAAATGGTTCAGTCCATGCTATGAGACCCTGTACATGGGGCCAAAAATCTTGGTATTTGAGAGACTATGCCCTGCATGAAAGTTAGTATTTGCTTTGGCAATGCCAGCCCCTGGCATACCTGGATGCCCACAACAGCTAAAAACGTGCAGGCACTGTAACTCCTGGGACATTCAGGGGTAGTGGAATATTTAAGGATCAATCAGTGAATCTGGAATCTTGGTGCCCTGCCCACCTCATTTGAGTGTGGCCAACACTGGTGCTGTTTGCTCCAGCTACAATCTGGGTAGCAGCTCTTCAACCTCTTCCCAAGATACGCTTGGTCAGTCTTGCTTTGGTCTTATGTTTTTTTTTAAACCTGTCTCTTTATAATCTCTCAAAGCGAGAAATCAGGGCAGCAGTGAGGCTTAATAAGACATTGGGAAGTGGCGGAAAGCACAGGGATGAGAGGGGGAAAGGGAGGAGGGAGAAGAAAGAAGCGAAGAAAGAGAAGATATATTTGGGAGACAGCCACACTCTGCTGTCTCCTGTGGAGGTCCTACCATCTGCATGTTCCTGGAGGAGTAAGGTAATGCTCTGGACCAATCACTTCTCCTCTGAGCCTCAGTCTCCTCAGTTTCCAAACAAGAACACATATATTTTCCCAGCCTACCTGACAGGAGGCAGTGTAGTGGACGGTGTCCTGCCAAAACTCATGTTCCTTTGGAACTACTGAGTGTGACCTTATTTGGAAACAGGATCTTTGCAGATGTAATTAAGTTGGAGTGCTACTGCAGTGGGTTAGGCCCTTAATGCAACATGACTGGTACCCTTATATGAAAAGGGAAATCTGAACACAGTTTGTGAAACTGGAGGCAGAGATAGGAGCAATACATCAATAAGTAAGGAATGCACAGGATTTCTGGCAACACCAGAGGCATGGAACAGATTCTTCCTCAGAGCCTAGAAGAAACTAACCCTGCCAATACCTTGATTTTAGACTTCCAGCCTCCAGAACTTTTGTTGTTTCAGGCACTAAGTTTGTGGTAATTTGTTGTATTCCTCAGACCCCTATTCATATGTTATAATCCTAACTCCTATTATGTTGGAATTGAGAAGTGCGGCTTTTAGGTGGTAAGCAGGTGATTCATGAGCTCCTGAATGAGATTAGGACACATCCAGGTACCATCTAAAAGGAATGGGCCCTCACTAGACACCAAATCCACGGGTATTGGGATCCAGAACTGCAAGCAATACATTTCTGTTGTTTGTAAGTGACCCAGTCTCAGGTATTCCATTCTAGTAGCCTCAACATATAAGACAAGTCATGTAAGAAATGAGGGAAAAAGCTGCCTGGCTACTGACAAAGTGCTCTGCGAATATGAGAGATCCTGTTCTGCAGCCATCAGGAAGAGTGGAGAAGAGCAGCTGGGGGCCTACTCACCCAATCATAAATTTCATCTTGCCATTCCTGGCTGCCTCAATGAGGATGGGGACCAACTGTGGGTCCCTGGGTCCAAAAATGCCATGAGGGCGGATGGCTGTGGTTAAGAAATTCTTCTCAGGATCATTGGCACTCAGGACTGCCTGAAGGAGAACAAGAGAAAGAGTGTGTCCAATGCAAACTCACAGGTCTGAGCCATGACATATGGGCCCCTCCACTAGGAGACAGAGAGGTGACATGCTCTGTTGGTATGCAGGTCATCGAGCAGCACTCTGCCCTGGGCTGACAACTCACATCAGGCACCAGTATAATTCTGAGTTACCTCTCTATCCCAGTCACCCTCCAAAATCTGAAAATACAGGAGAGATAGCTAGGTAAAAATCAGGAGGCTCAAGTCGGAAGGCTAGGGTTTGGGTTCAAAAGCTAAAATACATAAATGCAACCAAAAGATGTGCCTTGGCAGAAGTTTGTGGAAAAGACCCAAGGGTTGTAGTTAGTGAGCTAGCCATGGACCTCCGATGGGGCTGCCATCACAAGCTATGGGCATGGCAGAACTCAAAATCTCAAAGTACAGCCACAAGCCACACAATGACATTTCAGTCAACAGCAGACCATGAACAACAGTGGTTCCATACAGAAAATCACCTATTGATATTGTACTTGTCTTAGTTTGTTTATGTGTCCTCTATGATGTTTGCACAATGAAAAAATCATCAAGAATGCATTTTTCAGAACATGTCCTGGTTGTTAAGTGACACATGACTTTATTGAAAAACATGTTTTGTCTCAAAAGTAAACAAAACAAAACAAAACAAAACAAAAAAACCTTCCTGAAGGATTTGTTACATCATTGCTAAAAACAAGAATCATAAATCATAATAGTACTTAACCTAACAGGGCTGTATACTGGCTAAACAAGATGATCCATGGCAATCGCTTCAGTATATGTACATGTATAGTTACTGTTTTATTGCATGACCTAAGATTTCCACTCCAGGGTGGCAAAATGTTTATGCATGTTTTGGTTCTAGCAATTTTAAACTATTGGTTGATTCCTAGATTAGTAACCCCTTTGGTTTATTATCAATATGAAGACTTTAAACCCAATAGCAGGTGTCAATCTTGGCTGAAAGGTGACTATCAGTGAGCCATTGGTGGAGTCCACAGTCATCTATAGACTTTGTTGATTTCCAGTTGTGCACTCAAAAAAGTCATTGCAAGTGAGTTACCTATAGTCTGAGTCTCAGCTACCACATGGAACTTCTGGGTCTAGATGGGCTTCATCCCAATGCAGGGGTCCCAGGTACCTTGGATGAGAGTACACAGGGTCTCAAGCATGACTGAACTTCTTACAGGGCCCAGAGAAAGCTTTACTGCTCCGTGGATCTAGTCTGAGCAGGTGAGAGCTCCAAGGAGCAAGATGGACTATCCAGAAGACAGAACTCCAGCTGGCCAAAGGTCAGACCTCCACTCCCTGGTTTTCAGAGGCCCTCATGTCCTGTTGACCAGTTCTGCTGGGACTTTCTGAGCTGAAGGCATAACCAACGGTGCAGAGGCAGCTGCCTGTTAGGCAGCCAGTTCAGTGCTAAGCTCCAGTTCACTGTGTCTTGGCTTCAAAAGGATGCCTCAGTGGGTAGAGCATGCTGAAAATACCTGGGAGAGGAAAACTCACAGCAGCCAGGTAAGGCAAAATGTCTGCAGTTCAGGACAACCTCAGAGTATCAACATCCTGCACCTGGAGCCAGCAGCTGTCAGGGTCACTGGAGCCCTGGCAGCCTGAAGGCGTAGTGGCTACTGCTCCACCCAGACTGCTGCTGAATCCAACCAGCCAAAACTCAGGTGCCTCTTGAGGATGCTGGTTTGCCAAGTGGAAAAGTACTTTTACTTAAAAAAGCCAGATCTTTCTGTTGTTTATTTTTTAAAAACGGAGAAGGCAAGAGTGCTATTAGAAAGGTATGTTCAGCCAGAGCTGTGCCTGCACACTGGGGATCATCACAAATTGCCCCTGCTTTCTGATGCCCACAGCCAGCAAGCAAGGGTGTATGGCAGGGTGGGGCGGGGCTGGATGCCTAGGCTTTGGAGACAAACTGTGTGGTTCAGCTACCTACTAAGTTCTGCATGGCCTCAGGGAGGTTCTGGATCTCTCCGTGCACCAATGTCCTCAATTTATAATCTAGTGACCCTAGCAGTACCCATGAAGTTTAAACAAGGTAGTTCTTGAAAAATACTCAGAACAGTGTCTGGTTTCATTAAGCTATTATGTTCTTACAAATATTTTTCTTCACAATATACAACCGTTAGATGGCTACCCAATCAATTAGCTGTAAGGTACGTACTCTCTCTTGTAAGATCTTAGTCTCTGTGTAGTAGTCAATGGGTTTCATGGCATAAGGGAGGTCTTCCGTTCCATTCTTGATGTCACTGCCCTCAAAGACGACACTGGCACTGCTGGTTAAAATGAGTTTCTGGAGGGAGAAGATTTTTTAAAAGATAACAGTCAGGAATTATCACTTTCAAACTGACCAACAGCTGCCTATGAAAGAGAATGAAATGGCATCTCTTCAGTAGCCTCATACAAGGCACTGTACAAACTGCTTGGTGCCATGCCTTTACTGTTTAGCCTTCTTAAAATAATCCAAAGATCACCATCTTTTGTAGTTATGGGGATTCCAGATGCATTATGGTCACACATTATAAAACAGTGGCTTTCACAGTTTTTCTGGTTTGTTTCTTTGTTTTTGAAATCTCATCACATCTTAGGGACAGAAGAGACTATCACGGTATCTCACTATGGGAGTGATTCTCCACGGGGGAAAATAGCCCACAAACTGTGTGTTGGAAAAAGACCACTGATATCAGGGCATTTCTGATACCAGAACAATTCTGATACCAACCTTGCTATGTGAACACCTACATACAACTGCTGAAGAAATTCTGTTCTTATGAGGGTCCCTGGACCCGCAGCCTGTGGTTAAAAGCAGCTCATCCAACAGTGGACACTACTACCTCAAATCATAGAGTTCTTTACTGTATATTCTTGTTGAGCCAGGCCAGCGGTGATGCCAGGGACTGGCTGATCATACAAAGGCAGTGTGTTAGGAGAGGGACATCTTCCCCCATCACCCCACCAGCTCACTACAGGCTTTTCTGCCAACCACAAGGCACCTGTGGCATGTGTCAGTGTGAGGGAGCTGCTGCATTCAGTGACTGATGGCCTGAAAAAGTGCTCCCGAGCCCAGGATTTACAGTAATGCAGCAACTACAACAGGGTGGGTGTTTGTGTGCCCTTAGGTTTGGTTTACCAGAAATTTCTATTGTCTAAAAGTATACGCAACTTATTTTGTTTTGTTTTTAAATACAATCAGGGTCTGGAATATGGCTTGGAAGTTACTCAGTTAAACACAGAGTTACCATATTTAGCAATTTCACTTCTGGTATATACTGTCCAAAAAATGAAAAGTGGGGACTGACACAGATATTTGGACAACGAAGTTCATAGCAGCAAGATTCACAATAGCAAAAAGTAAAAACAGCACAAATACACATCAACAGATAACGTAAACAAAATGTGGTCCATCTGCACAGTGGAATATTATTCAGCCTTAAAAAGGAAGGAAATTCTGAAACATGCTGCAACATGGTTGAATCTTGAAGATGCCATGCTGAGTGACATGAGTCAGTCACAAAAGGAGGTCCCTAGAGCAGTGAAATCCATAGAGATAGAAAGTAGAAAGGTGGGGGCCAGAGGCTGGGGGGAGGTTGTTTACGGGGCATAGAGTTTCAGTTTGGGATGAAGAAAAAGTTTTGGAGATGGGTGCACAACAATGTGAGTGGTTTAGTGTCAGTGAACTGAACACTAAAAATGGGCAAATTGGTAAATTTTATGTTCTATACATTTTATCATAGTAACAAATACAAGCAATGTCTGAATTCTGCAGCTTCTTCATCAAAGACTGATAAGCCTTAGGGGCCTCACGTGATCTATTTGTACACAGACTAGGATAACTCCAAGTGGCCTCGGTAAGTGGCCTTTCAAGACATCAGTGACTTAGAGGGCTCTAAGAAGCGACCCTGGCAAGGCCCCAACCATCACATGTTCCTGACAGCACTCACTCCAGTTTTCTCCTTACCTGAACCCCAGCTTCTTTGCAAGTTTCAATGACATTCTTGGTGCCAAGGTAATTCACCCTATAAAAGAGTTCCTTGTTGTTACTGGATGGTGGGGGTGAAGCGCAGTGGAAAACTGTGTTTACGCCTTTCAGAGCTGGGTACAGGTCCTGGAAAAGCAAACAAAGACAAAATAATCACTCCTGCTTTGGACAGGTCACCAGTCTTCTCACATTCTCACTCTCTTACAATCTGTGACTTTGTAGGCCTTCTTGCCTTTTTATAATTCTGCAATTGACACAGGAAAACATTCTTGCAAAAGACTCAAACAATACGGAAGGAAATGGGCTAGAAACCAAGTTGGTCCTTTAATTACTCCCTCCCCTTTAATAAGTTGCCAATAAAATAGGGGTTTGGGGCCTGAGAAAACTGTGGGACCCAGACAGAGGCCGTATCTCTCTGGGTGTTTGGGATACCTGGGGGGAAGGGTGCACGAAACTCTCCAGGAAGGAGAGCTTACAGATAGAAGTTATGAATCATGTGACCCAAGTCCTAACCATTAAAGATGATGGAACTACCACTGCACAGCTGCATTCCTTCCTGTGAAACTAGATATGACGCAACAACCTGAAAGAGATTTTAAAATAGGCATGTGTAATTTACTGCGAAAAGGAACCACAGCTCCTGTCAAAAATGCTGACTGCAGATCTGTGGCAGGAAATATAAGATGAAGCAGGAACACCTTGTCATACCAGAAGTAAGGAAGCTCACCAAGACACGGTGGTCACATTCGAATGAGTCATAAAGAAGCCCCCACTGGCCAAAGAGGGGATGATTTGATCACCAGTAAGAATAAGGACTTTTTTTTTCCTGAAACTGGTCAGCAGACAAATAATCAAATATGAAATCTACATATAGTACAAAGATTTGAGCTGCTAAATGAAGAGAGAATGATAGCATCTTACCATTTTGCCAAACCTTAATTCAATAACAGGATTTAGGTATGATTCATGATTGTCACCGAAAGATAGACAACTGTGACTTATTTGCCTAGATTCATCAACTGATGCTCTGCCAGTTTCCTTTCTCTCTATACATACACACATGATTTTGTTAGGAAACCACTTTGCCTCTAAACTCTTTACTAGGTATCTCCTAAGAACAAAGACATTCTCATGAATAACCAGAAAGCAATGTTCACACTCAGAAAATTCGAAAAGATATGACACTCTCATCCAATAATTACTGCATATTCAAATTTCCTCAGTTGTCCAGATTATATCCTTTATAACCACTTTAATTTTTTAAATTTTCTGTATTTTGAGAGGCATACATGAGGGAGGGAAGGGAAGGGGGAGAAGAAGGGAGGGGGAAGGAAGGGAGAGAGAGAGACAGACACTCTCTGTCTACTGGTTCACTCCGCAAATGCCTGCAATAGCCAGGATTGAACCACTTTGAAGCCAGAAACCTGGAACTCGTTCTGAGTCTCCTATGTGGGTTGCAGGGGCTCAAGTACTTTAGCCATCACCACTGCCTCCCAGGGTAACCATTACCAGGAAGTTGGATTGGAAACAGAGCCAGATCTCAAACCAGGCACTCCAATATGAGATCTTAACTAGCATCTTAAACTGCCAAATACCTGCACCTAGTTGTTTCTATCTTTGGGTCTAGGATCCAATCATGGATTATACAAGGGTAGTTCAAAACATTTGTGGAAAAATGCAACTAAAAGTTTAGTTTACTTTGGTACAAAACATTGACATCCATGCATATGAGGGACCTTCAAAAAGTTTATGGAAAATGCATATTATAAAAAACAAACAGGTGGGACTGGCGCTGTGGCGCAACGGGTTAAAGCCCTGGCCTGCAGCACCGGCATCGCTGGTTCAAGTCCTGGCTGCTCCACTTCCAATCCAGCTCCCTGCTAATGCACCTGAGAAAGCGGTAAAAGATGGTCCAAGTCCTTGGGCCCCTGCACCCACGTGGGAGACATAGAAGAGGCTCCTAGCTCCTGGCTTTGGATCAGCCCAGCTCTGGCCATTGTGGCCAACTGGGGAGTGAACCAGCAGATGGAGAACCTCTCTTTCTCTCTGGCTCTACCTCTCTCTGTAACTCTGTCTTTCAAATAAATAAAAAATAAATCTTAAAAAAATATTGAAGAAAAACCAAAAGAAACAGGCATGGATTTTAACATTTTTTGCATCAAAATAAACTTGTCTTTTCATTTTCCAAAAACTTTTTAAAAAAGATTTTACTTATTTGAGAGGTAGAGTTACAGATAGAGAGGAGAGACAGAGAAAAAGGTCACTATCCACTGGTTCACTCCCCAAGTGGCCCCACAGGGTAGAGCTGGGCCAATCCAAATCCAGGAGCCAGAAGCTTCCTCCAGGTCTCCCACACAGGCCATCTTCTACTGTTTACCCAGACCATAGCAGAGAGCTGGATCCGAAGTGGAACAGCCGGGATTTGAACCAGCGCCCATATGGGATGCTGGCACCACAGGTCTTTAGTCTACTACACCACAGTGCTGGCCCATCCAAAAACTCTTTGAAGTATCTTCATATTCAGTCCTCATATCTCTTCCATCTCATTTTTTTAAAAAAATATTTTATTTACTTGAGAGGTAGAGAAAGTGCTCCCATCACTCTCCAAATGCCTGCAACGGCTGGGCAAAGCCAGGAGCTGGGAAGTCAACCCAGGTCTCTCCTGTGGTTGGTAGGGACCCAAGTACTTGAGTTATCACTGCTGCTTTCCCAGGGCACACATCAGCAGGAAGCTGACTTGGGAACAGAGCTAGGGCTCGAGCTAGGTGCTCTGATATGGGGTACAGGCATCTTAACCACTAGGCCAAATGCCTGCCCCTTCTTGTCTTTTATTCTGGAACAATTCTCTGTGTTTTCTTTTTTGTCTTTTGTAACAGTGCCATTTCATTTTTTCAGGAAGTCAGGTTTACAGACTGCCCCTCAATATTTAGATTTGCCTATTTCCTCACAATTATATTCAGGCTGAATAGTTTTGGCAAGAATACCATATCACTGATTTTCTATCCTTCTGAGAGCATTATTTCAGGAGGCCCAAGTTTGTCCTACTGTTGGTGACATTAAATTGGACCATTTGGGAAAGGTGATGGTTGCCAGATTATGGCCATGGAAAATGTTGCTTTTATCTTTTGCAATCAACAGGAAATTCTACCAACTAATTCAAGCATTTATTGATGGACCTTGCCTGGAATGCTTATCAATGTACAGGTTGCATAATGGTGACATTCTAATACTAGATGTCTTTTACATTTATAAAAGATAGCATTCCTCTATAAGGTAGAACTTTCCCTTCCCCTATCCCAACTTTTCAGTATTTCTATGGAAGTATGAATTTTTAAAATTAAATTTAATATACTCCACTAGTATTATCCTTTGTTGAGGCTCAGAATGTCCCACATTTGATCAGTGCAGGCCCTTCAGGTTGGCTTCTCTGTTCTTTTGACCCACCCTCATTAATTTTGCCCTAAGAGGCATTGCCGTGAACACACTGCTGTGGAGGTGTTCTGTAGCCATAGTTAGTGTCTACAGTCAGCTGCCTTCAGGAAAGAGAGATGATGGTGGATAGTCTAAAGTGGGCTGTGTGCATTCAAGTGGAAGCCTTGACAGCAAAACTGAGGTTCCTGTAGGAAGACAAAATTCTAACCCAGGCCTGTACTGTCAACTCCTGCCTGAGTTTTCCACCTCTCTACAAACTTCAGACTTGCCCAGCCAGCTCCCACAGTCCCATAAAAACAATTTCTTGAATTAAATCTTAGCCCCTGTCTCAATCTCTCTTCTGCTTTCTCTCTCTCCCTCTATACGCCTACCTCTCACCTTGCTGCTTATTACTCTGGAGGACCCTGAGTGATACACACAGTAAGAAGTAAAAGGGGTAAAGACGGTCAAGGCTATGCATAAGAACAAGGGGACCATGGAACCAAAGGCACTGATAACATGAAGGGGTGAGTGATAGGGAATCTGCTAAATGTCTGTGTGGAGTCAAAGAATTGGTGCATAGACTATTGGAAGGCTTGAGCTGGAAGGAAAGGAAGTGGTGCTCAGAGTGGAGGGCCTGCAACTCAGAGGAAGCACAGGTCATATTTTACTGGTAAAGACAATGTTTGGTCGAGGGAACAACAAGGAGTGAGAAGAGGGCAAGTAAAGGAGAAGTCAACTGGTTAGTTAGTAAGGTCATCTACATGAATACTGAATTCACCAACAATTGTGCCTCAAGTGTTGTTTACAAAGCTGATGTCAGCCAGGAGCTCAAATCACTAAGCAATGAAGTAGAGCAACCTGGTTCAGGTGGCTGTGGATGGCCACCACAAGAAAGGCTGGCAAGGTTAGTATGGTCTGATGGTATCTGCCTTCAAAGTTTGAAGGCACTTAAGACAGAGTGAAGGAGAACAATCTGGAAGTGACAGTGATGATCAAGGAAGGCTTCTTCCCTATCTTCAGGGTCTGAGGTGTGAGCAGTGTGGGAGAGAAAATATTCATGACTTTGCAGGGGAAGCAATGCCCTAACAATTCAAAAACAACTATGTGGCAAATGACACCAAAGCCAGAAATAAGAGCCAAACAACAGGTTGGGGGAAGTCATCTGCAATATGTGCAACATGCCAAGAATTTGCACACCAAATAAATCAATAAGGAAAACAAAGTAACCCCAAAGAAAAACAGGCCAAGGTCACAAAAGGAGGAAACATGAATGCTGATCAACAATGGACACAGTGGCCAACCACCTGATCAACAGGGGACATATGACTCTGAACATCACCCAGGTACCATTTCATACTCTTCGGAATGGCAACACCAAACAGCCTAATTATGCCCAGGGTTGGCAAGGAAGTAGGACAAAGGGGATTCTGTCCCACTGCTAACATGCGTAAAATTCCAACCTCTAATAAAATTCCAAATATTAACACCCTTACAACATGGATGACACTTGCAAATAGTATGTTAAGTGAAAGAAGTCAGATACAATGAATGACCTATTATATGATTCTATTGCTATAAAATGTCACCAACAGGCAAATACATAGAGACAGAAAAGTGGTTTCCATAGCCTGGGGGAAGGGGGAGAAGGAATGGGTATAGGATTTCCTTTTGGGGTGATGAAAACGCTCTGGAATTAAATAGTGTAGAATGGCCGCACAGCTTTGTGGCTACACTAAAAGCCACTGAACTGCATATTTTAAAAATATAAAATTTATGGCACATGAATTATATCTCAATTTAAAAAAATAAATGCCTTGTGGCCTAGCCCTCATCTTTTTGGGTAAATACCCTGAAGAAGCAGTTGGCACACTGCAACCCATGAAAACTGTTTGTTAAAACTTCTTTGGTAAATTTGATTGGCATACAGCTACATCTGTTTATTTAAGCACTGACCATGGCTGCTTCTATGTTACTGCCGCAAAACTGAGTAGTTGCTTTCTGAGTAGGAATAAGAATGCGGTGGGTGTTCAGCTCTTTCCTATAATGTTAAAAACTTTCAAGATAAGGCATTTTTTTCCAAAGCACAATTTAGCTGGCCTCTGAACACAAGAAGTACCATGGTTTCCCTGCTGGGGTCTGTGGGGATTAAGCAAGGCTGTATGGTCCTTACTTGTTGGTTGCAGAGGTCGCCCAGAAAGAACTGCACCTGGGGATTATCAAACCCTTGGCGGATATCGAATACATTGACAGTGTAGCCCCTTGCCAGCAGCTGCTCCACCATGTGCTGTCCAAGGAATCCAGAGCCTCCGATCACTGTGCATTTCTTGGCCTGCAGAAAGAGAGGGATGGTGGAGAGGATCAGTGAGGTGAGAACTGAAAGTTATGAAGAGCCCAGACTTAACATGATAAGAGCCATCTTATCTGTTTGCTGGAAACTTCCTTAGCCAACTTGGAAGCATTAAAGAATTCCTGTGTTCAGAAACCAGTGTAATCTCCTTTCCTGGGATCAGTGAGGAAGGGAGAGAGACAGCAAACAATACTGGGATAGACTGGTTGGGTTTCATGACAAGATCCATGCTTTTTATTATTTGGCGAAAGGAAACTAAATGACCTAGGATAAAAACTGGAAAGTCTAAAGAAAACACAGAAATGTGGGTGCTGACGCCATGGCATTGTGGGTAAAGCCACTGTCTGCAGTGCCGGCATCCCATATGGGTGCCAGTTCAAACCCCAGCTGCTCCACTTCCAATCCAGCTCCCTGCTGATAGCCTGGGAAAGTAGCAGAAGATGGCCCAAGTCCTTGGTCCCCTGCATCCACATGGGAGATCCAGAAGAAGCTCCTGGCTTTGGATCGGCCTGGCTCCAGCCAGCCATTGTGGTCATTTGGAGAGTGAACCAGTAGATGGATGACCTCTTTCTCTCTCTCCATCTTTCCCTCTCTCTGTAACTCTGCCTTTCAAATCAATAAATAAATCTTAAAAAAAAAAAAACCACACAGAAATGTGGTACTTTCTTGCTTCTAGTAACTGATCCTTGGGCACTTCTCTAAGGCAAAAAGTGCCAGCCATTTAAGAGTTTGCACTTAGGAGCCAGTGCTGTGGCATAGTGGGTAAAGCCATCACCTGCAGCACCGGCATCCCATGTGGATGCCAGTTCGAGACCTGGCTGCTCCACTTCCTGTCCAGCTCTCTGCTGTGGCCTGGGAAAGCAGTGGAAGATGGCCCAGGCCTTTGGGCCCCTGTACTCATGTGGGAGAGCTGGAAGAAGCTCCTGGCTTCGGATTGGCACAGCTCCGGCTGTTGCAGCCAATTGGGGAATGAACCAGTGAATAGAAGACCTCGCTCTCTCTTTGCCTCTCATTCTCTCTGTGTATAACTCTGACTTTCAAGTAAAATAAATAAATCTTTTAAAAAAGTTTGCACCTGGCCGGCGCCGTGGCTCACTAGGCTAATCCTCCGCCTAGCGGCGCCGGCACACCGGGTTCTAGTCCCGGTCGGGGCGCCGGATTCTGTTCCGGTTGCCCCTCTTCCAGGCCAGCTCTCTGCTGTGGCCAGGGAGTGCAGTGGAGGATGGCCCAGGTGCTTGGGCCCTGCACCCCATGGGAGACCAGGAAAAGCACCTGGCTCCTGGCTCCTGCCATCGGATCAGCGCGGTGCGCCGGCCGCAGCGCGCCGGCCGCGGCGGCCATTGGAGGGTGAACCAACGGCAAAGGAAGACCTTTCTCTCTGTCTCTCTCTCTCTCACTGTCCACTCTGCCTGTCAAAAAAAAAAAAAGTTTGCACCTAACATCACAAAGAAGAAATATAGTCTTCTACTCACAGGAGAGCCAGGGCCCTTTCCTCCCTGATCACAGTGGGACTGGGCCATGTGGCTCTGGGTTCACCTACAAACTGCTTCCTGCCTCAGCCTCGCCATCTAACACTGTCTTGATGGGGTCACTTTGCTCCTGATATCAGCTTCTTGCTAATGTGCAACCTTGGAAGTAGCAGGTGATGGCTCAAGTAGCTGGATTCCCTGGACCCACACTGGAGATCCAGACTGAGATCCCAGCTCCTGGCTTTGGCCTGTCCAGTCCCAACTGTTGCTGGCATTTGGGGGAGTTAACAAGGGGATGGGAACCCTCTCTGTCTCATTATCTTGCTTTTGTTTTGCTTTGCAGTTAAGTGCCTTTTTCAAAGCATTCTTTTTTTTTTGACAGGCAGAGTTAGAGAGAGAGAGAGAGAGAGAGAGAGAGAGAGAGAAAGGTCTTTTTTTCTGTTGGTTTACCACCCAAATGGCCGCTACGGCCGGCACGCTGCGCCAATCCGAAGCCAGGAGCCAGCTGCTTCCTCCTGGTCTCCCATGTGGGTACAGGGCCCAAGCACTTGGGTCATCTTCCACTGCCTTCCCAAGCCACAGCAGAGAGCTGGACTGGAAGAGGAGCAACCAGGACAGAATCCGGCACTCCAACTGGGACTAGAACCTGGGGTGCTGGTGCCGTAGGCAGAGGATTAGCCAAGTGAGCTGCGGTGCCAGCCAAAGCATTCTTTTAAAAAAATTTTATTTATTTATTTGAGAGGCAGAGTTACAGAGAGGCAGAAGCAGATAGAGAGAGGTCTTCCATCTGCTAGTTCATTCCCCGAATGACCGCTATGGCCGGAGCTGTGCCAATCTGAAGCCAGGAGTCAGGAGCTTCTTCCGGGTCTCTCATGTGGGTGTAGGAGCATAAGGACTTGGGCCATCTTCCACTGCTTTCCCAGGCCACAGCAGAGAGCTGCATTGGAAGTGGAGCAGCTGGGTCTTGAACTGGCACCCATATTCTTTTTTTTTTTAACTTTTATTTAATGAATATAAATTTCCAAAGTACAGCTTATGGATTACAATGGCTTCCCCCCCCATAACGTCCCTCCCACCCGCAACCCTCCCCTTTCCCACTCCCTTTCCCCTTCCATTCACATCAAGATTCATTTTCGATTCTCTTTATATACAGAAGATCAGTTTAGCATACATTAAGTAAAGATTTCAACAGTTTGCTCCCACACAGAGACATAAAGTGAAAAGTACTGTTTGCGTACTAGTTATAGCATTAGATCTCAATGTGGCACCCATATTCTTAGGCAGAATGTATATGTAAGTGAAGACAAAAGTATCCACTTATTTTAGTGGTTTAAATTTTACTTTCTATAAAGCAATCAATGAACAGAAGCATCAGACGACATTACCAGAGTGAAAGGCCTTAAGATGTATTTTTCTTCATTCACCCACAATTCTGAATTCTTAGTTTGAAGAATACAAAAATTTGAAACTAGATGACAATGGCTATTTTTAAAATTTTTTTTTAATTTATTTGACAGAGTTAGACAGTGAGAGAGAGAGACAGAGAGAAAGGTCTTCCTTCCATTGGTTCACTCCCCCTAAATGGACACTACGGCCGGCACTGTGCCGATCCGAAGCCAGGAGCCAGGTGCCTCCTCCTGGTCTCCCATGCGAGTGCAGGGGCCCAAGCACTTGGGCCATCCTCCACTGCCTTCCTGGGCCACAGCAAGAGCTGGACTGGAAGAGGAGCAACTGGGACTAGAACCAGGTGCCCATAAGGGATGTCAGCGCTGCAGGCGGAGGATTAACCAAGTGAGCCACGGCGCTGGCCCCGACAATGGCTATTTGATGTAACCATTGGAATATAGATTTTTGGGGCTGCTGAGTAGCAATAAAATCCTAATTTACACAAATTATGAACCACACTTGCCAAGCAGCTTCAACCACTGAGGAGGTGTTATCTTGAGCTCTATACAAAAAGCAGGGTGATGTGGTGGCCAATGGGCAACTCTTGAGGATCTTTAATTTACTAACATTCCCTACCAATATATTTTGCCTCAGTGTAATTACATTATTGAAGTGTGACCTCCATTAAGAGCAAATCACAACAAACCTTTGCAGATCTACATTAAGAATACCCTGGAGGATAGAGGCTGGCATTGCGGCGCAGCAGGTTAAAGTCATAGCCTGCAGCACTGGCATCCCATATGGGCGCCGGTTGGAGTCCCGGCTGCTCCACTTCTGATCCAGCTCTCTGATAATACACCTGGGAAAGCAGTAGAAGATGCTTGGGACCCTGTACCCACATGGGAGACCCAGAAGCAGTGCCTTACTTCTGGCTTTGGCCTAGCCATTACGACCATTTGGAGAGTGAACCAATGGATGGAAGATCTCTCAATTTCTCTCTCTCTCTCCTTCTTTCTCTAACTTTCAAATAAATAAATAAATAGATAAATAAATCTAAATAAAATATGCTGAAGGGGGCCGGCATTGTGGCGTGGCAGGTTGGGTCACCTCTTGCAATGCAGGCATCCCATATGGGCACTGGTTTGAGTCCCAGCTACTCCACGTCCAATCCAGCTTCTTGCTGGTGCACCTGGGAAGCAACAGAGGATGGCCCAGCTCCCTGGGCCCTGCACCCACATGGGAGAATCTGGATGAAGCTCCTGGCCCCTGGCTTCAGCTTGGCCCAGCCCTAACTGTTGCGGCCATCTGTGGAGTGGACCCATGGATGGCAGATCTCTATGTGTCTCTCCCTCTCTCTGTAATTCTCCATTTCAGATAAATAAAATAAATCTTTGGGGAACAAAAAAAGAACCTCGTGGAGGCCTTACAACAGCTGGACTCAACAATCCCTTCAAGTCCCTCCTGAGATTCATCAACTAGGTCTCATGGGCCTTGTAACTGCCACAGCTGCCATCTGGAATGCTGCCACCCTTCCAGGAAGCATAGTCTAGACTACTGGAGGCCATATGAAAGCAAACCAAAGCACCTAGCTGACAGTTACTGCCAGATGTGTGAGTGAGGTCACCTAGGAACATACACCTCAGGGGTCCCCACATGACAGCAGCTGCATGAGTGAGCCCAGGGGAAAGGAGCTTCCAGTTGGGTTAGGCCAAACTATAAAGCCCTGAGCAAAGAAATGGCTATTCTTTTAAACCACTATTTTCTTTTAAAAAAGATTTATTTTATTTATTTGAAAGGCAGAGTTGGGGGGGGAAGGGGGAGGGGAAGAGGGAGAGAGGGAGAGAGAGAAAGGAGGGAGGGAAGGGGGCCTTTCATCTACTGGTTCACTCCCCAAATGGCCTCAACAGCCAGGTCTGGCCCAGGCTGAAATCAGGAGCCTAGAACTTCATCTGGGTCTCCCATGCTGGTGCAGAGGCCCAAGCACCTGGGCCATCCCATGCTGCTTTCCCAGGCACATTAGCAGGAGCTGGATCAGAAGTGGAGCAGCCAGGACTCGAACAGGTGCCTGTGTGGGATGCCAGTGTCACAGGCAGTGGCTTAACCCACTGTGTCAAAACACTGGCCCCTAAACCACTATTTTCTGATGTTTGCTATACAGCAATAAGTAACTGATACATATTAAAGATATTTATCTTATATTAAAAAATTCCCAATACTGATTTAATAAATGTACTAGATACAATTTTTAATTGCCAATGACTTGCTAGTTATGCACACGCTTGACTTTCTTCTTACCTGATTTTGGCTAGGCTTTTTTAAATGTCAGTACTTACTTCAAGAACGTCCTTTGTCAAGTGTGTCTGGGTGTCCAGGTCTTTCAGGGGCTCACCAACTTCTTGATCCATTTTAGCATAAAATATCGTTGTGCTGGCAACTAATTTTTCTCTTGGGAAAAGATATATTTAGAGAGAGACATTAATGTGGTATAAACCAACACATCCTTAGTTGTTCTAGGTGATGCCATTCCCCACTTGAGCAGCACTCAGCTATCCTGCAATGTAGGCTGCTCTCTTAGAAAGGGGCACTTGCTGGGTCTATAACTCACCAGACACTTGGCAAATAACCCAACTTCCCACTCTGCCTCTGATCCACTCCAATATCCTTTGATGCACTGTAGCTTTCCCCACAGTACTCCATTATTCCCACTGCACCACTTACTCTCAATTTTTCTTGTGGTCCTCATTAGATGGTGGCAGGGCACAGGCCTAGAAAACCTACTGTTTGTGAAAGCCTTGTTCAGAGAACATTATTTGGTGAGGAGGCAGCAGGTGTGCTGCTGGCACTGGGGTCTCAAATGCTATGATTGCTCCAGGTTACTCCATATCATGAGTTGTACACTCCTTGCCACTCCTACTGGGTGCCACCAGGTGTCCCTGTCAGGAATGATGTTGAGTTTGTGGGCATATCAAAGGCCAAACTGGCCTTGTGATGGATGTTAGGAGCCTCCATGTCTGATAAGGTCATTTGTGGGGAGCATTTTTCTGAACTCATAATGGAAATTATAAGGAAAATAAATTTCAAAACTTGACTTTTCCCAAGCCTGCAGTTCTATGTCCCATCCTCCCACTCTTTACCTTGCAGTCTCCTTCAAACTGGCAGGGACCCTTTCATCAGTTCACCCCAAACAGATGTGGCTGAGATTTGACTCATCTGGTGCAATGTGTATCAGCACCAAGGTAGCTGAAGAATAAGGATTTTGATGCCTTGCACCGAATCTTATGAACAGAGCATGGGTTCTGCCTGTCTTGCTTGCTGCCATGTCTTGGATATGCAACACAGAGTGGACACTCACACATCTGCTGAACTCAGGGCCATGTTGTATGTATGCATATCCATGCCACACACACTTACAGCCACTTAAGATGTAGGGGCTTTGCCTGGCAAATGGCTTTGTGCTTCGTATGGTGCTGTTACAATCATGAACATCAACTGCTGGCTCCTGTCTCAGTGTCCCCAGACACTCTAGGAAACATGAACAAGCATGAAGGCAGATGGCATTTATGGGTATCAGGTCTTGGCCCCACCATGGCCGTTACTGACCCCTGCTGGCAGGGATCTAAGGACTGTGTGCCTGGTGCCAAGACCATCTCCTCCTGCCCACCAGCTCCGGGGATCTCACAGCATGGCTAACTAGGCTAAGCAAGCCCACACCTGAAGTGTCTGCTCTCTGCTCACTCTCACTGTCTATGAAAAGCATAAACCACAGCACTCTGTAATGCAGTGGACAAGAAATGAATGAACCAGAGGCTGCTGTTAGGATTCAAATCCAGCTTTATTCCTTACCACCAGGGAGCCCTAGGAGAGTTATTCAATAGAACCATCAGTAAAACAAATACCCTCATAAAGTCATTATGAGTATAAAATAAAATTAAATTAAATCAAAAACACAAATGCATGTAAAGCCCTCAACACAGTGCCAAGTACCTGTTAACATCCCATTAAAGGCAGCTATTATTATTATTACATTTTTTACTAGTGGAAGGGACTGCAGGGATCTCCTTTACCTTGCCTCCTGCCTTGTCTGCTGCCAAATCTGTGGAGCAAGGCTGTCTTACCTGCCCAGGAAACAGCTTCTAGGCCCCAAGGCCCAGATGCTAGCTGATGCATCTACAATTAAGCCAGTATGTGCATAGCAGTAGTTTAGGACAGGGGTGTTGAGGAAGTAAGACAGACTGAGATGTGAAAACAAACTTGGGCAGAAAGAACTTCAAATATTCCCCTGTCCACCTCATTTAAGGAACAGCATAGCATACTCCAAAAGGCTTCCCCCAGTTCTTAATCAAAATTACAGGTGAAGAATAGGTTTAATCACTCCCATAGCCTTAAGCTCTGCATGAGAACAAGGGAAGGAATTGACCAAGAGAAGGCTTATTCAGGACACCTGAGGATGACAAAAATCTACCCTAAGTCCCTTTAGTGCCAGTAGGGAGAGTGGCTTTCTCTCTCTCTCTTTTTAAAGATTTATTTTATTTGTTTGAAAGCCTTTTTCTGTTAAGAGCTCCCTTGCATTCACAGGGTGGGAACGCTTTCTGCACCTGGGGCCCGAGTGGCCTGAGCTGGCTCATAGGTCAACACTCAGGGTTCCAGATCCTTTGTTTCCAAATGACTGAGTGAGAAGACTCATCTCTGCACCAGCCAGTAGCATTCTCTGTCAATGAAGGGCATAGGGCTATATAGCAACACCAGGCTGGCCTGCACTTCAACAGGAGAAGACAGTTCTACACTTCTGCAGTGCAGTGAGTGGTGGGTCTCAAAATACTGTCCACATCCTCATTCCTCAGCCCTTTGAATGTGACCTTATTTGGAAAAAGACCTTTGCAGATGTAATGAAGTTAAGGCACCTGAGATGGGGGGAGGATTTTCCTGGTGAGCCCTAAATCCAATGATAAGTGTTCTTTAAGAGACACGCAGAGGAGACACATACCCAGAGGAGAAGGCCAGGTAAAGTCAGGGGCAGAGATTGAGGTGATGTGGTCACAAGCCAAGGAACACTTGGAGGCACTAGTAGCTGGAGGAGACAGGAAGGATTTTCCCCTAGAGCCCCAGGAGACAGCATGGGCCTATTGACACCTTGATTTTTGACTTTCACCCTCCAGAACTGTGAAAGAATCAATTTCTGTGGTTTCTAAGTCAGCCAGTTGTGATTGATCATTTGTTCTGGCAGCCCCACATAGCCTAGCTGCCAGTTCCACATGCCCCCCCCCCCCCACTATTAGCAAAAGCCCAATGCTTTAGAGCCTATTCCCTTCCACGTTTGCTAGAGGAGGATGTAGGAGGTAAAAGAATATGTGGTGTCCCTCAATGGAGCTGCACTGCTCCAACAGTGGTAGGCAAACTAGACTCTTGTTGAAACTCTGTCTCAAATTATAGACCAATTTTTAAAACTTCTATAAATTCTATGAATCAGATAAGAACTTTGCACATAGTTTCACTGTTTCTTGTGGTCAAGGTCCTTAGGACTAGCCTAGAGAATTAATTAAATGCCTCTGGCAACTTCTCTCTTCTCCATCCACCCACCTAAATCTACTTTCTGATATACACTCAGGTTAAGAAGACTATCAAGAATAGCTCTGATTGAATAGATATTTCTCCAAAGAAGCTACACCTTACATATAGCCAAGAAGCAAATGAAAAGATGTTCAACGTCATGAAAGAAATGAAAATCAAAACCACAATATGGTACCACAAACTACAGTGCTATAGTTTGGATGTTGAATGTCCCTCCAGAGACCCATATATTAAAGACTTGGCCTGTAGGGTGATGCTATTTGGAAGTAGTGGAACCTTTAGGAGGTGAGGTCGTGCGCTTGAATGGTAGTTCTTGCAAGTTGGTTGTTATAAAGGCCAGAGTTTGGGCCTACATACTCTCTGCTTCCTGGATCACCATATGATTCTTACTGTATGCACTCTGCCAGCTGCCATGGGCCCCTCATCAAAGCCAAAGCCTGTACCATGCTGAATAGATGCTAACTCTCCAAAACTGTGAGCTAAGTAAACATTTAAGCTAGCTGCTTCAGGTATTTTGGTACAGTGATGAAAAACTAAGATATATGGTTATTACAAAAACCAGAAAACAGAAAAATACACATGTTGGCAAGGATGTGGAACAACCGAAACCTTCACATACTGTTAAGAGGAATGTAAATGGTACAGCCACCATGGAAAACAGTATGGCAGTTCCTCAAAAAAATTTAATTCAGCATTACCATCTGATCCAGCAATTTCACTTCTGGGTATATTCCACACCCTTACCCTCACCCCCAATTGAAAGCAAGCACTTAAACAGATTTTTGTGCATCCATATTAATAGTAGCTTCATTCACTGTAGCCAAAAAGTGAAAGCAATCCAAGCGTCCATTGATAAGATTATTAGATAGATAAAATGCAGTCCATCCATACAGTGAATATTATTCAACCTTAAAAAAGAAGAACATTCTGACAAGTTACAACATGGATGTTCTTGAAGGATGTTTTAAAAATTTTGTTTTCATTTCATGTGAAAGACAGAAAGAGAAAGAAAGAGAGAGAAAGAGAGAAAGAGAGAGAGAGAGAGAGAGAGAGAGAGAGAGAATATCTTCCATCTGTTAGTTCATTCCCCAAATGCCCACAACAGCCAGGGCTAGGCCAGGCTGAAGTCAGGAGCCTTGAATTCAATCCAGATCGCCAATGTGGGTGGCAGAGACCCGAGTACTTGAGCCATCACCTGCTGCTTCCCAGGGTATGCATTAGCAGGAAGCTGGAATCAGCAGCCAGGGGGCTGGTGCTGTGGCACAGTGGGTTAAGCCATCTCCTGTAGTGACAGGGTCCCATATGGGCACTGGTTTGAGTCCTGGCTGTTTCACTTCCACTTCCTGGCTGTTCCATTTCCTCCCTGTTAATGCGCCTGGGAAAGCAGTGGAAGATGGCCCAAGTCCTTGGGCCCCTTTCACCTATGTGGGAGACCTGAAATAAGCTCCTGGCTTCAGCCTGATCCAGTCACAGCTGTTGCAGCCACTTGGGGAGTAAACCAGCAGATAGAAGATCTCTCTCTCTCTCTCTCTCTCCTTTTCTCTCTGTAACTCTGCCTTTCAAATAAATAAATGAATCACTACAAAAAAAAAAAAAAAAAAAAAGAATGTAGGCAGGATTCAAACCGAGGCACTGTGATATGGGATCCTAAGTGGTGACTTACTGCTATGCCAAACACCTGCCCTCAATGTTACCCTCTGTGAAACAAGCCAGGCACAGAAGGACAAGCACAGTGATTCCACTCACAGAAGGTCAGAGAGGAGTCACAGTCACAGAATCAATGAATGGTGGATGCTAGGGCCTGGGGGAGGCCGGGGAGTTAGTGCTTAAGGGGGACAGAGTTTCAGTTGGGAAAGATGAAGTTTTCTGGAAATGGATGGCTATACAGCAGTGTGTATGTACTTAAATGCCACTGAACTATACATCTAAAAATAGTTGATGGTACATTTTCTGTTATGTCTATTTGAGCATACCCATGCACAGAAAACTAACTCTGAACTATTGAAAGCCTCCTCAAATCATTTTCCTTTAGCATGGTAGGTCTTACGCTCTGTTAAAAACTAATATGTATATCTACTATATACACTGGGACAAAGTTTTATACCACCTTTTGCTGGTGAAATCCAAGGCCCCTGTTCCACTTTTGGGTGAGGGGAAGAGGCTTGCTGACAAGATCTGATGAACAGAGAAGTGAGAGAGCCCAGTCTCCTTCCTCCTGGGGAAAGTTCCCACCCACTCACTACCAGAGAAAAACGGAAGAGATAGTCTGTCCATTTCAAAGCAGAGAGGGATGAGGGTGTCCTTGCACAGCCTCTTTGTAAAGGAGAAAGGTCATCCATACCCTACTTTCCATGCTGTTCTGTGCTGGAAGCTGGACTGTGGCCATCAAAAGCTCATCATTTTTGGCTGTGTGTGAACAACTCTGGCCTAAGCAAGGATGTGCAAACAGGACTCCAAGCAAGATGCACTTTCCTCCAAACCACCCAAGCTGTAGAGTCTGGCTAGGCAAGGAAAGCAAAGTAGCATTTTTCAGATGTTTTGTTGGGTTCCTGATATGGGGAACTAAGCCTGGGATTCTGAAAGAGGATTCCCCTTTCTCCTGTCAAGCTGCACAAGACTGGGTCTGAGAATCTAGTATAAAGGGTAGGATTTGCCCAATACAGACACAAACTTCATTATGGATACCTTTCTTTCAGAAAACACTGCAAAGCAGGAGTCCTGTAGAAACAAAAGCAAGGCCTCCCATTGAGAATTCACAGATGCGATATGGGGGAGAAAAACACACAGGTTATTATCATTGAGGTCTTAGGTTAGCCCTTACTACGCTGGAGCAATCCAGCTCAACCTCATCCTTTCACACACTTGCCACGTCCCTGTGTTTTGGTCAGTGGTTTGTATGTGCTTGTTTGGTTACTTGTAGAAGACAGAAAGTCCCTAGCTTTGACTTTGGGGCGGGCCACTTGGAAGCTCATCAGCAGGCCTGTGAGCTTAGCATATGCTGTTCCCTCTGCCTGGAATACCTTCTGGCCCCCTCTTCCTTCATGGCCTAGCTCCACCTTCCTGTCAGTGAAGCCTTCTCGCCCTCCCCAGGAGAGGTGAGCTGCTTCCTCAGCGCCTGCTTGTGCTCTCACCCTAACACTGAGCACACTGCATGATGCTTTTTCTCACTCCCATCTTGGCCCACTAAGGTTGGGGGCCCCTGCCTGGAAGAGAGGAGTGCCTACACTTACGGAGACTCACTGTGCAGGGCAGGAGACAGGGAGACTCACTTATGTAACTCTGTAACTGCTGAGTCAGGTGAGTACCGGAGGCCTTCCAGGAGCTAAAGAGGGTGTAGGCAACCTAGACATTCCATAGCCAGGGGTGGGAAGGGCAAGGTGATGGCACAAGCCAGCATGCTCTGCTAACTGTAACAAAGTGTGTCACATTGAGTGTGATGCAAGATTTGGAGCAAAGTTCAGAACATGCAGTGACCATGTGCCACTGGAAGTGGTAGGCAGGGGTAAGTACTATGATCAGAAAGGTTGTTTTGGCTGCAGTGTGGACAAGGGATTCTAGCTAAGCTGAAGGCTTCAGGCATGCTAGGTAGGGGGCAAATCTGAGAAAAGAACTCACATTGCCTACAGACCTACTAAATGTCAGACCCTTTTATGCAGGAGAACATTATCTCATTAAGATCCAAAAAGCATCCAGTTAGACAGTTCTGATTTCATTCAACAGATGAAAAATTGAGGCTCAGAGAGGTCAAGTGACTCATCGAAGGTCACACAGCCTGGACAGAGCTTGTGTTTGTCCCTTCTACTTTGTTAAATTGCCACCCCACAGACTGACTGGGAAGCATGGTGTGAAACGACATGAAGCTAAAAAGGTTAGCAGGGGCTGAGCTGGGCAGGAGATTCATATGGCCAGCTGAAGGTTCTGAGTTTTACTCTGCAGTTATGAGTAGCCTCTGAAGATTTAAGAGCAGGGGTAGATCCGACTAGAGCTATTCATGGCAGCTTTTAACCTGGGGGTGCAGGGGCCTTCTCATCAGTCATCCAAACTGCCTACAGTGTACTCCATGTCTGATGCAGGCACTGAAGCACCAGCAGTGAACAAAACAATGAAGTGTGCCCTTGGAAAGCCTGCTCTCTAGAGAACGGGCAACAAAGAACGAAGTAAATAAGTACAGAGCGACAAGTACTATGGGGAAGATGTATACTGGGAGTATAGTACTAACCAAGGTGCTTTGAGTAGCCTAAGAAAGCTGAGCAAAGACATGGAAGGGTGAATGATACAAGACCAGCAGGAAGAAGATAAAGTAGGTATAAAAGTTCAACGCAGGAATGTGCCTGGCATTTGAGGCCCAACAAAGAAGCCAGTGTCCTGGGGAGAGAAGGGGACCGCAGTGAGCCAGGGCAGAGGAGGAGAGCAGTTTGGAGGTTGAACCAAGGTTAGCAGACCATGGTGGGAACTCTGGCTCATACTGGCTGGGAGGTGGATGATGAATGCTAGAATTGAGAAAGGAATACAGGTGGAAAAGAGAAAAGAAATGGCATTTAATGGGCAGAACTGATAGAACTTAAGAGACTAGATACAGGGGAGAGGGCAGGGAAAGTTAAACATGAACACAAAGTTTTGAACCCAGTTCACTGCTGTAAAGAGGAAGAGGGCAAAGAGTAGACACTCCTCTTAAGATGTGCTAGGATGCCTCAGGCCTTTTGAAGCCAGAGAAACCTCTGCTCTGTCCTCTGCCTCCCCAGATAACCGCCTCAATGCCGCATGAGTAGGTGCAGCTGAGACCCGTGGAGCTGTCTAAGGAGGGCAGACTCCAGTCCTTTTGCAGTTTCAAGTCAGCCCTTACCATTACTCATGCTCCCCTGGAGATCTTCTTCCACAATTCCCGTGACTTTGCTCACAAGGGTGTCTCGGCCTGGAGTTCTCCTCCCTGACTGCCTTGAGAGTCTGTGTCAAAAAGAGTGTATTTTGAGACAAGCATGAGGAGGAACCTCCTTCACGTCGTTCAACACCCATTGTCAAGGTCTCCGACTCACTGTACCGGGCTGCTCCTGGAACCTGCTGTATTCTCTCAAACAACCAGTCTACGTGCCAGATGTCAAACCCTCTGCGACGACACTCAGCACGCCCCTTCCCCTGTCAGGGTCTCAGCTATCCTGTGAGTAAGTACAGTCCCAGCTCCCACACGAAGGTCCTGGGATCTTCCTGATGCCCTTGTTCCTAACTCAGTCTTAGGCCAGACCAGAAACCACTGCCACTCAGACCGCCCCGCCTAGTCCTTCGCTCGCCCGCCCTGCCCTGTCGCCGATACAAAGCGGCTTCCGAAGCCTACGTGGCGACTCTTACCCTTCGGTCCGTAAATGTCCCCCGGTTGATCTCAGCTAGCCCGCCGCCGACAAGGACCGAGCTCCAGCCTAGGAAGGCCACCCTTTTTTCCCCGCCTGTGTGAGCTGAGAATCAGCCGAGCTCCTTCTACCTAGCGGATTGGCCGGGCCTAGAGTCGGCTCAGCCAGTCGGAGCTCTCAGCGTGATGTTGTCCAATGAGAGCAGGTCTCACCCTCCCAGCGCACCGCCCCCCGCCTGGGCCCGGGCTTTGTGAGGTTAGCCCTACCCACTCCAGACGTAGACCAATGGGGAGCGCTGGAGGTGAGCCGGCAGCCAACAGGGAGCTGGGCCGCGCGCGCGGGGCGGTGGGAATGGCGCCGAGTCGGTGTGTACGTAGGTTGCCGTAACAACGGGCAGCGGAGTGCGTCGGCTATGGTGAGTGCTGGCTCCCCAGTCCGGCCTTGCACCCAGGGACTGAGTCCTTCTCAGGGCTGCGGCCCCGCCACACCACACTGACTCTCTTGCTCACCTTTAGTGCACTGATCCTTCCTTTGAGCTCTTTCCCGGAAGGGTAGACACGCCAGCCACCCCGCTGGGCCTGCGCTTCGCCCTAGCCTCCCCGTCATGCACAGCGGGCCCTTACCCGTCCCTCGGGTCCCCCTGGCTTTCTCTACCCGCCTCGGGGACTTCCTAGGCAAAGAAGAGGGCCCAACCCCTCTCAGATCCTGGCCCTTTCAGATCTTGGCCTCCTCTCTCTGCCAAACTTCCCCCACCTGGGAGGAGCTTTGTTATGTTCTGATTGTTAACTTGTATTTTACAATTTAAATATGGGCATTCCGGAGATGCTTTGAGCATCTTGGGGAGGGCATGAAGGTGCCAAATAGATTGTTTTACTATTTGATATGGACAGAACACTTATCTAAACAACTTAATAATCTTTGGCCAAATCCAGAAGTAATCGGAAAGTCAGAGTACCTCTTGGGAAGCCTAGTACCGCGAGGGGTTGTTTTTGGAGCCAGGATCCCCGCGTTCAGGGAGGGCAGTACTCACTTCGAGTTATCTACAGTCACTTCCTTAGCTAACTGCCTCGGAGTGATGTATCCGAAGAACAAGGGATCTCTTTGCTTCTAACAAATACTACTAAAGAAAAGGGAGGGAGAGCGCTTCACGGGAAGTTTCATTCTTTCCAATAAACCCCATTATCTCTTGTTGAGCAGAAATTGGGAATTGGTTGGTATAAATTAGTTTTAAAAGAGATAGCAGTGTCTGTAACTATGGACTGTATTACATAATAGTGTGCTCATGTGTTCGTATAATTTCTACAGGCCTCTAACTTTAAGAAGGGAAACATAACATCTAGTTCCCAGCGGAAAAGGATGAGTCCTAAGCCTGAGCTTACTGAAGAGCAGAAACAAGAAATCAGGGAAGCTTTTGATCTCTTTGATGCTGATGGAACTGGGACCATAGATGTTAAAGAACTTAAGGTAAGCCCTGCACGTTCTTGCTATACTACCTCTGCTTCTTCCTTACCCTTTCTCTGTCACAACTCTACCCCTTTTGCCCTCTCCTTCCTGTAAAAACTAACAGGGCTGGGATTTTTGTGCTCTCTTTTCCTGTCTTTTATTATGCCAAGTGTTACTAAATAAAATTGACAACAAAGGTCAGTTACATCAATGTTTATTCTGTAGTCATTTTACCATTATTATGGTAGATGTTGGCTTAATATTCTCAACACTTATATTTGCTCCTGCTAGATTCAGATATGCATATTGAGACATTCCTGTTTCCTTACAGGTGGCAATGAGAGCCCTGGGGTTTGAACCCAAGAAAGAAGAAATCAAGAAAATGATAAGTGAAATTGATAAGGAAGGCACTGGAAAAATGAACTTTAGTGACTTTTTGACTGTGATGACTCAGAAAATGGTAAGTTAGCTGAGATAACCATTAGCATGTTTTTTACTCATAGTGATAGATAATGTCTATCTATCTAGAGTAAATGCAAAAATAATTTTAAAATAGTGATAAAGTCTATCTATCTAGTCTAGATGTGAAAATGACCTAATTGGAGAAAAATTGACAAAGATTGGAGAATTCATCTGATAAAAGATAGTATTTTTGACTGAGAATTAGCCTAAATTCTCTTTGGCTTTCTTCAAGGTCACAAACTAATGAAGTCATTTCACCCTTTGTAAAGTAGCAAAAGTGTCATTTTTCACTGTTTTTCCAACTGATATATCTGTGATAAACCCAAATAGAAAAACTGTAGACACCATTCATTTTTAAATGCAAGGTGGAGGGTTAGGGAATGAATCTAAGAAGTTGATTCCCCTGGAAGTCCCTCCTTGGCATTTGAACTAGAGCAAACTCTGAACAGGAGAACACAGCAAAATACCAGGGCTTAGCATGCCAATGTGCAGTGTCAGGTTCACTAGGTGTCTCAGCAGCTGCCTCTAATTCTGTTCTTTGTCTTCTTGGCTTGTATTGTTGTAAATGGGGGGGGGGGGGAATGGGCAGTGGTGGGGCTATGGAACACGGGTAACCATGGTGTTTTCCTGATAATGCATTTTATGTTCTACTTGTTAAGTCTGAGAAAGATACCAAAGAAGAAATTCTGAAAGCTTTCAAGCTCTTCGATGATGATGAAACTGGAAAGATATCATTCAAAAATCTGAAACGCGTGGCCAAGGAGTTGGGCGAGAACCTGACAGATGAGGAGCTACAGGTTTGTCATGTGTGAGGCTGGAACGGTGAATTCCCACCGTTGAGCCCTCTGAGACTTCTCTGCTTTTGATTTTTCCCTGGTGGGAAAACCTCTTTGAATGAAAGATACTGTTCTTTGGCCCCTTTGCTAACAACGTAACTTTCCTTTGATAGTCTGACAATCCTATGACCCTGCTTCCAGAAAAATGCATGTGTGTACAGTTTTATTTACTGTTTTAGGTTTTGGGAGTCCTTCTGGTCAAGTCCTTCGAACTTCCTTCCAGGTGACATGTATGACAAAATATGACTTGGTTTTCCAATGACTCTTCAAGAGCCAAGTTATTATAATGTATCGAGTAGACTACAATTGTCTATTCAAATAGCAATGTTAAAGCCTATGATGTAGTCACCTTTTTGTTTATTTTATGAATTAATGTTCTCTGAATCTTTACTGTCATGCAGGAAATGATTGATGAAGCTGATCGAGATGGAGATGGAGAAGTCAATGAGCAAGAGTTCCTGCGCATCATGAAAAAGACCAGCCTTTACTAAGATCCATGTCGTCTTTTCTACTGCAAGCACACCTAACTAGATTTAGTGCCTGCCATTGTGTAAAATCTGGCTTTTGAGAACACAAACTATTTTCTCCTGCACTGACCTCCCTACATAATTTTAGTTATGGCCTCTAATCTATTTCAGACTTTTAAAGTGTTCTTTGATACTCAATCTCTTTGTAAAATGACCTGCTGATTACTTGAGTTCTCCAAAGCAGAATAAGAGCACATTGGAGCGGAGAAAAGGGTCTTAAAGCATTGCCCACCTTCCATTTGCCTTGCATTGCTTCGCTCTTGTCATATATGTCACAGAGATGCACACTGAACGACTTCTTAGACAAGCACATGTTGTACCCATGTCACCAGAAGCACTGGTCGTTTTTCAGTGGTTCTAGTTTCTAGTTGATACCAGAGTGTAATCTTCTATTTTATAAAACCCAGTGAACTCTTGCATTGGCATTTGGATGTATGTTAATGCTATTTGTTTTGTCTTAAAAATAAAACCTTTCTTAGTCTGAGCTTTTGTTTAAGGATGAGTTCTTTATCCTTGACTGTGAGTTCATCTTCTAAGGTATCATTGAAGGCAGCTTGGTACATACAAAACTTACAACCTTTTGGATAAAACCAGAATAGTCCTTTGCTAATTTCCTGGTATGGATTGTTTCTTGCTTTGGAAATCCATGAGTTTGTAAAACTCATAGACTTTCCATTTCGCCTAAGCTTAAATGATGCCCTGCAAAGAGTTTTGACAAAGTATAAGTCTGGAAAAAAGAATCTTGTTGAGGAGAGCCAGTTTGCTGTGACAGGCCAGATGCAGCTAATCTCTGGTGAGTTTAATTGCTTGCAGTGTCCATTGTCCCTTGAAGTTGGGTTGAGCTGAGTGTCCTGACAGTTGCCCTCTTGGCCTCTCACAGGATTCCTGCAAGAGAAGCCCTGGTGGATGGCATTAAAGCCTCTGCTCCAGGTAGGTAGCAAAAATGGGAATGGAAAATGGGATGCTCAGTTATCCACATGTAGAGAGGGTGGGAAAGGGCTTTTAAACTTCTGGGGGCATCTTAGCCCCCTGGAGATAGGGTTGCCTGATTTAACTAATAGAATGAGAACACCTGGGTACATTTGAATTTATGAATAGTACTTTTTTTAGTGTAAGTGTATCTCTTTTGCACTTTGTGTTGTTTACTCATTGTTGATCTGAAATTCCAGTTCACCAGGGCATTCTGTATGTATTTGAACTGCCAACTCCACCTGGGGAGCATCCCCACACCCTGGCCTCTTGGAGGCCTCAGGCACCCAGGGGTGCGGGCTTTACTGTGTTGCGCAGACATATCTCATGCAGAGGGACTGCTTTTTGAGAAATACTGAGGGGAAGGAACCCAAACTGGTCTCATACCTGGGTTTTTCATGACCTTTAGCACCTCCTGGCCAGCACTTTGGAGCCAGTTACTCTAGATGCAATGGAGAGAACAGAGTTGCTTGACTCAGAATTGCTGGGCTGTAATAGAAACTTCAGGACCTGGCTTTATGGTGGATGTTGAAGAATGAGGTGTTGTGGGGATGGCGCTGTGGTGCAGTGGGTTAATGCCCTGGCCTGAAGTGCCAGCATCCCATATGGGTGCCGGTTTGAGACCCGGCTGCTCCACTTCCAATCCAGCTCTCTGCTGTGGCCTGGGAAAGCAGTGGGAGATGGCCCAAGTCCTTGGGCCCCTGCACCCACGTGGGAGACCTGGAAGAAGCTCCTGGCTTTGGATCAGCACAGCTCCTGCCATTGTAGCCACCTGGGGAGTGAACCAGCGGATAGAAAACCTTTCTGTCTCTACCTCTCTCTGTAACTCTGTCTTTGAAATAAATAAAATAAATCTTTAAAAAAATGAGGTGTTGGAAAGATGTCCTGTTGCTGTTTTCTACTAACAGGCACATGAGCTGATAAAAGACATGCAGTATTGGAAATGAAGGACAAGATTGGCCCTGCCTCCC